ATTTACCAAAATATTAAAATAGTTATTGAACCTAATAGAAAAATAGGTAAACAAATCAAAGCAAGGAACTTAAATTTGTTCCTTGAGACAGGGTACTAGTACTCATGGTGATCCTCCTGCCTCCGCCTCCAAAGTGCTGGGATTACAGGTATGTGCCACCATGCTCAGCTAAGAAACTTAAATTTTTGTTTGTGCTAGAGATTGAACCCAGAGCCTTATGGATGCTAGGCAAGCCCTCTACCACTAAGCTACAGTCCTAGCCGCCATTTTTTAAATTTTTATTTATTAAACAAATACTCAGGTAAAATGTACCAAACATGGTTTTAAGAACTTTATAAATATTAATTCATTTAACCCTCATAAGTGAGCCATGAAACTGAGAGCCTTAATAATTTATCTAAATTCATGTAGCTAGTAAGTATAAGCCATGATATAAACCCAGGCAGTATAGTTTTCTTATCTTTTTTTCTCCTTTGGTACTGGGGATTGAACTCGGACTCTTGTGATTGTGAGGCAGACGGTGGAACCACTGAGCCAAAACCCTGGCCCCCAGTACAATTTTAAACAGTCAGTAAATGCACAAATATGTTTAACACACTAAAAAATTATGAGAGTGAGATCATTCTATGATCCACCAAAGATGAAATAGTTTGATTACAATCTGCAAGGATTTAAAAAAAACAAGTATTTTTACACATATATTGTTAGTAGAATTATAATTTTAATGCCATATTCCTAAGGGCAATTTGACAAAGTCTAGAAAAATTATAAATGAACAAATATGTTACCAATTTTTCTTTTATTCTTATGTAAACAAAGGCAGTTATGTATAAGGAGGTTCACTCTAGAATTTATTTGTATTGATGACTTTCCCTCAAAAAACAGAACAAGGGCTGGGAATTTAGCTCAGTGGTTGGACCTCCTGCCTCACAAGCACAAGGACCCGAGTTCGATCCCTGGTACAAAAAACAAACAAACAAAAAACAAAAAACAAAAAAACGAACAAGATACAACTCCAGTTCCCATCAACAGAGGCTTAGTGAAATAAGTCATGGTTGCTCAACATTATACTGAACAACTTTTTTTTTCTCATTGAGTTTATTGGTACATTTTAGGTATACAGTACAGTTACATTCATCATTGGGATTTTGTACCTTTACCTGACAGGTCTTGGTTCTCATTTTATCCCCTTACCCACGACCCCACTTCATCCCCTCCTCCCTTCCCTATTTACAAATACTTTATTTCCATTTTTTTCATTTTCTCATTTTTTTCTCTTTTCCATTATTTCCTTTCCCCTACCCTTCCCACTTCTCCTACACCTTTAGCTCTTTTCTTCCTGTTTCACACTGTCAATTATACTATTAGGATCTTATATACCATTATAGTTCTTCACACCAGAGAAATTATTCAGTATTTACATATGTGTGACTTATTTATTTCACTTAGGAATATATCCTCAATATGAACAACTTTTTAAAAGTTTATATATTAGTATGTGCTAATATGAAAAAATATCTAAAAATACTTTCAATCACTATTGCAATTCACATTATGAAACACATCTTAAAATCCATGTGTTAAAGATCTATATTTGTATAAATATGTGTACATATGAATGCAAAATACCTAGAAAGACCATATAGCAAAAAGTTAACATTAATTGCTTTGGGGGAGTGAAAAGGGAAGCAGAAAAGGAAGAGATGGTGTCTATTCTTTACTTCTCCCTTAATATCGTTATATCGCTTTTGTTTTTTGGGGTTTTTTTGGTACTGGGGATTGAATTTAGGACAATGCAGTTGGAAAGCAGGTGGCAGAATCACTGAGCTAAATCCCCGGCCCCTCACTTTTGCTTTTTTTTTTTTTTTTTTTTTTTTTTTTTTGGTACCAGGGATTGAACTCGGGTCCTTGCACTTGCAAGGCAGGCCACCGAACCGCTGAGCTAAATCCCCAGCCCCATTTTTGCTTTTATAATTGTGTATATTTAACTGTTACATTTATAGAATTTGAATAGTATACAAAAACAAATTATTTCATAATAGGATGGGTTTTTAACAGTAACATGGATACCCAGCAAAACTTAGCTTTAAGATATAGAAAAGGAGTACATGTACACACTCACCACAACTAATGTAATCATTATATATTGTAAACATATAATGATTTTTAATGTACAAAAAAGATATAGAAAAAGAAATATAGGTATTAGTCAGTGACTCAAGTCTAGATGAAATTCATATAAATGTCTCAGAAACAATCCTTTTAGGGAAAAAAATCTAAAAAAAGAAAAAAAAGTCAAATTAAACATGCCCAATAGTACAAATTATAAATATAAAAGAAATCTACTCTCTCCCGTCTCAGAGAGATCTAACAGAGATGTGATTTCCTTTATTGATGTTACTTGATGCAAGAGGTAAAAATGAAGGAGGCCAGGCAGAGGGTATAGAAGAAACAACTAATTTGGAGTTTAAAATTATGCTTTTATCTCATCATTGCTTTAACTATCTGAGTTTCGACGGTTGCTGCATTTTGCTTTTTTTCAAAAAATTAAAAAAAAAACAAAAACCCTCAAATTTTAGGATCTCTCCTGTTCTAAAACTTCTTAAATTGTATTATCATTGTTTGGAAAAAGCAGTCCTAAACATCATAATCCAAGGATATGCAGCTGTGGATAAAAAGTCTCCATTCCTGAATATGGCAGTTTATTAAGGAGATATTTCTGGAACTAACCCTGCCTGCTGTTCAGAACTCACCAGGTGTCAAGCTTCTGGCTCATCTAGGTAGGAGGAGGCACTTTCTTGGCTGTGCACACAGGCAGAATGTTACTGAGTACTGTGGCTAACTGATGACTAATTGTAGATGGTTTCTATTTTAGTTTCTCTAAAAATTTATTGAATATCAGTCAACCATACCAAAAGACCATTAGCCTTAGTGTGGGTATGAAATTTTAACAATGAATTAAGACAGTTTTACCCACTAAATATAGGTGGTTTCACTAAAAGTGACTTGAGTGATAACTCCCTGAATGACTTTCTAAGAAAGCTCTATGTAAGGCATGGTGATATATGCCTAGCGTCCCCGCTATACAAGAGACTGAGTAAGACTTGAGCCAGGCTGGGCAACATAGTAAACCTTGCCCCACTATTAGCTAGGGACTACCCTAGAAAAACCAAAGAAACCAGACAGACAAGCTTTCTCAATAAAAAAACATAATAAGAAACAAAAAGACATCTAGTCACTGAACATGACACACTAATGAGCACTAAATACATAAGAAGCCTACCAACTTCAAAAAATACTAATTTAAAACACTGAAAAATGTTTTTAACCTACAAATTTGGCAAAGATTATTACAATCCATAACATTACCCATACTTGTAAGGATTATGCAAGCAACACGCTCACATTGCTTACCCAAGTGACAACCAATACAACACTTCTGGAAAACAACTGGCAAAGGGGCACCAAGAGACTGTGAAAAGTTCACTGCCATTCAGTATTGATAATAGGCCTAGAATAACTGTGTTAAAGTGATGACTAATTAATACAAGGGTACATATTTTCCAGAAAGTTTTTAATGAATGTGAAAAATATGGGAAGAAGATGGTCACAAATAAAATCACATTATACTGGTACAGTAATAACACAATATAGTGAAAGGACAAAGCAAAGACATAAAATATCTTGAGTTTTTTTACTTTATTCCTATCAGTATTTTCCAATTTTTCTATAATGAGCATATACCATATGAGGCATTGATTCAAAGACTAATATTTATTCTCATTTTTACTTCCATGTACTAGTTTGAAAAATTTTTTAAGTATAATAAACATTCTAAGTGGAAAATTATTGTGGTAATTTATTTTTGCAATATATTTTGTGGCAGCTTATTTTTTTCTTTAGTAGTGCATAAATAATGTGTTTTATAATCAATGAAATACGATGTAATGGGAACAATTTAACACAGTAGTTTTAGATGGCGCCCTAAAATCACTATTACCAGGTAGTACTTACAACATGCAGTCACTGCCTGTGCATAGCTGGGTTGTCACACCTGGTACAGGGATCAGATCATTTCTGGAAGTCAGTTAATAAGTCACTTGTGAGCCAATGGGGAAGTAATAAGAGCCCTGGATTTTACCTGAAAGTATTCTGGCAAACCTCCTTTTGAGGTCATAGAAGTTCTCTGAAATTTAAGTCTAAATAAAGATCTAAAAAAGGAAAGGAAAAGCACCTTTAGTGAAAAAAATTATCTGTAAAATAAAATTAGATTTAATTTAAAAAGGACTGAATTTCTCATGTAAAATCTTCTCATTACAAGTTAAGCTTCCTATTGCATTTACACATATACATACAATGGGGGGGGGGGCTCGAGTAAAAAGTGTTGAGAGTTTTGCCACATTTTTTATGATTCCAAGAGTCTGTCTTTCTGGAGGTCTTACTGACAATGAGAAAGAGAAGGTCCATGATGACCGACTTCCCCTTCCTCTGGCTCCGGGGCTTTCTCCAGCTGCTCCTCGGAGCAAACAGAAGTTCACCACAAAGCCAACGTGGCCCAGCTTGTTTAAGGGCCTGACTCTGACAAATGCTCAATATGTGCTCCCTTTCTTCTCTAAGCTTTTCACCCTTTATACGTTCTTAAAGCCTACAGGAAAGCTATAAAGAAGACAGAAGGCAAGGACCTTCCAAATATAAAGACCTTTATTAATGAAGGATGTGTTGAGATGAAATTGTATAAACTGGATTTAGAAATCTATTCTTAGAGATGGGGATATAGCTCAGTAGAAGAATGTTTGCCTAGGAGTTCAATCCCAGGGAAGGGAGGGAGGGAGGGAGGGAGAGAGGGAGGAAAGGAGGGATGGACAGGAGGGAGGGAGGGAGATCTATTCTCAAACTTCTTGGTAATTCCTGAAATCCCTGGAGCAACAAAAGAAGCCGATCAGCTTAATGTCACAAATAAAAAGATAAAATACAATAGAGGTAAAAAGGTTATGACTCACCATACAGCAAATGACTTAAGAGCTTGCCTGGTTTTGTTCTAAAGGAAAAGATAAAGATGGGAGAAGTCTTATTACTCAAAGAAATTTGAAGATTCAGTACTTGGGAATAGGAAGCCATGGAAGGAAGTCATAGCGGCTTCTAGAATATTGTTCTTAACCTTTGCTTGTTGAAGGCTTTTCTTTTATTCAACAAGGGACAAGAAGTTGTAGTTTTGTTTGTTCTTTAAGGTATCACTCAGTTTTCTCAAAGGAAAGATGCAGCTGGCCACAGTGGTACATATCTGTGATTCCAGCTTACTTGGGAAGCTAAAGCAGAAGATTGCACTGCCTATCTAGAAGAAGCCAAATGCCAACTTACACACTGCTGCCGAAAAGTTCTTATTTAACTCGGACAACATCCCTGTAGGTAGTTTCATGTAGGGCTGGTGTTATAGTGCTCAACTAAAACATGCTAGCCAATGGGGTTGGATCTCCAGGACCACAGAATGAAAAAAAAGGCCAGATGTGGTGGTACACTCTTGTCATCCAGGCATTCTGGGAAGCTGAAGCAGGAGGATCAGAGGTTCCACGCCAGCCTGGGCAATTTAGCAAGAAATAAGAGAGGCTGATTTATAGTTCAATATAAAGGCCTTGGGTTCAATCCTAAGTAGGGAGAGAGAGAAATGTGTCCAAGTTAACTGGGAAGTGATCAAGCTGAAATTTTGAACCTATTTTCTAATTCCAAAGTCTATGCTTTTTCTAGACTTTGCAATACAAATGAGGGAAAATGAAGAGAAAACTGAAGGAGGAACTGACTGAACCACAAGGAAGAAAACAGCATTCCTGCTCCCACTAAGCAGACTGATTCTATTCTATGTTTAAATCATGTTCTAATATTTTTCAGGGGCCGGTGATTTAGCTCAGCAGTTCGGTGGCCTGCCTTGCAAGTTCAAGGACCAGAGTTCAATCCCTGGTACCAAAAAAAAAAAAAAAAAA